AGAGTGTAATAAAAAGCAGTCATATTCTGGCTACATGGACGATTCCTTCAATGGAAAGACTGTTATTAACCACTATAACTCTAGCAGTTAGATTGGAAGTCCTAGGGTTGCATCCCCCAAGGTCACAGTGTGACCTACTGTACAATCTCCAAAGGGTCTTTTCCAATTTGGGAAAACGCAGGGGGAGGAAGAGTCATGTGGTGCCATTTGGCAGTAGAAATGAAACATATCTATGAAGAAAAGAGGAATAATCTATACCCAGTTTTTATAGTATTTCCTTCTAAATAATTGTATGAATTATGGGCATTTCTTTGATTGGTTGTTATGGAGACAGATCATTTTAATTCCAATTTCAGTAGTTGCAAGTTGGTGTTTGAGATTTTTGTGTGTGTGTGTGTGTGTGTGTGTGACAGAGAGAGAGAAAGAGAGAGAGAGAGAGAGAGAGAGAGAGAGAGAGAGAGAGAGGAGAGAGGAGAGAGAGACTCTCATCTGAGAGGCTGCTATTCCCTAGGCAATAAAAACCCACAATCCTACTAATGAGGTAGAAAAAATCACTAACTTTTCTGTGTGCTTTATAACAGCACTGCCTACTGACATAACCAGGGTTTCCTGAATAATTGTCCTCTTTTCCAGTTTATTTTTAGGACCTAAAATCGGGGGGAGGAAAGTGCCTTTAGGTCTAAAGCATTTCCGTCTAATAGTGAAATTCTATTGCTTCAGCATTCAGCCCTAACCCATGTTAAATACATCCTTTCAAGTGAAAGATAAGTGAATGTGAGGGATGGCACGAAAGTTCAACGTTGGAGTTCTGGATGGCTCAGCCTTCGGTGTAAGGATAAAGACTCATCTCTCGCTGCAGGTCCCATCTTTCCCAAATTGGGGAATGTTCCTGTGACATTTCCATCCACCTCCAGGGACACCATTTGAGTTTGGCAGCAATAGAATGAAAGAGTTTATAAACCTCAGGACTTTATCAAAATATTTAATGTTGAGGAGAAGACAAACTCAACCGTATAATACATGTTAATACTCTTAGAGCCCTCAATAAATATAAAAATATTTGAAATACAGTTAGGCCATCAGCATACGTAAGGCAGTTTTAGACAGTATACGTAAGGCACTGGGCTAGGTGCTGGGCTGAGAAATACTTACAAAATTTGTTTCTGTCAATTTCCATAACTAAGTGAACATGAGCATTATAAGGAGGAGAGAGATACTATTTAGACAAAGAAAAACAATCAAATCAACACGTGTAGCAGATATTGATTGGATATCTGGATTCAGTTGTTAATGTTATTTTTGTGGAGGATGATCCTTTATTCTCAGCTATAAATTTCCACGCTTTTAACTGTCACACTGATCAGCAGCTGTGTCATCCCAAAAAATGTCCTGTTCCATCCTCCGCCTGGGCCTAAACTGCAAGCTTGAGAAGTTTAAAACCATTAAATACGGGTTTATGCAAACCATTATGCCTCACATTTTCTTTCAGTAGGAAATGGCTGAGGAGATTTAAGGAGGGGGGGGCGGGGGGGGGGCTCGGAGATTTAAGGGGGGGGGGCGGGGGGGTGCTCTGGGGGACAAAGCACTGTCTATATAGAGGTCATTTAAACATATGCTTAAAATGTGAAGTTAAGAAAAGCGACACTGCAATATTGTTTCTTCTACTTTAGGGATGACTTATTAAAAGGAAATGTATGGAGATCCTTAAGAAATTGCAAGAAAGGGTGTGTTCATGCAATAGACATGGCCTTTGTGTTTACCAAGATCTTTTGAAAGGTGTTTGTAAGAATGGGTAAAATCGGTTGAATTTAAATTATGT